GATACTTTCAATTGGCGTAACAAGTAGAAAATTACCTGTAGGCCATAAAAAGCAAGGAGAAATTTATTAGACACATGATTTGAATATGACATTAACATTTTATTATATTTATAATTGCTTATAGCAACATAATAGTATACATTTAAAATATTACACGTATGTCAAGCGCGTACCACCGCTACTCTTATGGCGCTGGGTCTTACATTTAAGGCATGGAAACACGCATAAGGAATAAATATTGCGAAAGTCCAGTTACTGGCGACTCGCTGCGCTCGGATTCTAGACAATTTATACGTCTAATTCACCGTGTTTAACTAAAATACATGGGGATACAACCGACCAATAGTAAGCAACGTTATTAACAAAAATAGAACGAAGTTTTTTCAAGAAAAACATACCTTATGAAGCGTCCTTCCTCATAATCGGGTTTATAAATCCATTCACAATACGAAACAAAAACCACTCGAACACTTTGCGAACACAAAAATAATACGAAACTTAGGGCCTCTCACGTAGTAACATATGGCGCAACGTAAAACACAGACACACACATCCTTTTGCGTACGTTTTTGGGAAACAATAAAAAACTTGCACAATATTTGAACAGATGGGATATTTATTTTGGTTTGACGCGCGACGTAAGATCGTGGGCCACGTTACCACGCCGCACCGCCGTCCGCGCGGAGGGAATCTCGCCACTGACTCGGAACACCGCGTTTGTTTGGCTGAACTTCGCCTTCCCTTTCTAATAAGTATTTTACTGCAGCTCCACCTAGCGTCTAGTGGACGAACCAAGTATGCTACCACCGTAGTAGCAAGATGGTTCGAGCAGATACTCCGCACGACTGGTTTTTAGTGGAGTGAGCAGTTTTGTATAGATGTCATTCAATAAACAATACACGCAAGACAAGACTCATAACTTTAAAAGCAAAAACATTAACGAGTGAGTGAGGTCGACTAAGAAATAAAATACTTTATTATTGTATTTTTACAGGTTTCCCCAAGGAATTACACTAGGACCAACGCTATTGGATCTCACGAAAAATTTATATTAGGTCTTTAAGTACCTCTATGAAATTGCCATTTTGCAGTAGGTATTGGCCATTTCAAATCCAAATAATTTATGTTTGGCTACGAATTCGAATTTCGAATAAATTATATTTCAAAAACATGTATTTTTTTTCCAAAAGTAGTCATTTCAAAAATTCGAGTAATTATGGAGTACGAGTACTGTACAGGCAGCAACTCGGCACATGGGCACGCAACATCAACGACGTTTACGGAGCTAACAGTACAAACCAACGCACCGCCTGTTATTGGTTTGCTCGCTTCCATTCTGGAAATTTCAACCTGAAAAATGAACCTCGCGGTCGTCCGAAGTATTTGGTCGACAATGACGAATTTAAGGCGATTGTGGAAGCCGATGATACACAATCTAAGGCTAAATCAGCAGCAACTTTCGACTTTAGCGTCAATATAATATTAGTTCATTTGCATTAGCCAATTGGCAAGGTAAAAAAGCTTGACAAATAGGTGCCCCACAAACTCAATCATCGCCAGCGCGAAGTACGCGCCGTGACGCGCCGACACGTGGCTCGCACTACTCAACACTCAACAGACACACAAATGAAGGAATTTTAAACTGCATTGTTACCTGTGATGAAAAATGGAGTCTGTTTGATAACCGTAAGCGCTCAGCAAGTTAGTTGGAACCTGGTTCAGCACCTAAACAATGCCCTAAGCGAAAACAGAAAAGTGACGGTCACCAAGCTTCAATCCTGCGTAGCCTTTCAAGACGCGGTTGCGTAGTACAGCTTTTCTCAGTATAGTCACGTGAGTAACCCGCGATTTTAGTTAACAAATAGCACGTCTCCGTCTTGAAAGGGTACACAGAATTGAAACTTTAAGAATATTGTTTTTTCGATAAACCTTAAATGAAAGTACGACTGGCGCACGTTTATAGGCCCCGTAACAATCAGGGATGATGATTAACGAGATGATAGTTTTTTGGAAAGAAACCACTGAACAAAGACAGGCCCAGTTGCCGGCTTCATGCCGTTACTACTAATTTCAATATCAGAATGTAGGTACGAATTAGACGATTAATGCGTTCTCAGCTCGAGTTATGGGCTCGGTTAACAGAGGACGCACTTGCGACCACAGAAGCAGTGCTCTACAGTTGCTTTGGAGGGATTAGAGGAGCGAATAGAAACCAAAGAATCCCAAGCAATAACGATAAATAACGTAACCACTTTTTTCAATAGTATTAAAGTGTAATGCTAGGCAGTATATAAAGTAGGCTTTAAAATAAAAACAAGTATATAAATTGGTAAAATTCCTAGTTTATTTAAAAAATCAATATTTCCGTGATTTACACTTATTATCCTATCATAACTTTACATGAAAGTTGTGTCTCTGTTTGTTCAGCAACCACTTTAATCAGGTTGCTATTGGAAATAACATTTTTAGGCTGGTAACCCGCTGTGATCCATGCATCGAGAATCTCAGTACTTGGCAACATCGTTCGTAGTGTATTCCTAATATAAATGTATGCTTGTGGGGAGTATTTGTAGATACTTAGAGCGAAGTTTTTCAAGTCTTCTGTCTGTCGCATGGGCATAGCTAAGACCAGCCCTGTTGTATCCTCCTTAATTTTATCCTGTAATGACAGTAGAATCCTGCATTTTTTCTTGCGTTTCTGGTTCAAAACCTTCTTCTTCATCTCTATAATCTCCTTTATTCTCTTCAGGAATCTATTCTGTCTGTTATGTACTTTCATGTTGTATTTCAGTTTGTCTTTTAGGCCTACAGCCTGTCTCTGAAGCCTTTGTACTTCAGAGAATAGTTTGAGCAGCTCAATGCTATCTAGTTCTTTCTGAGGTATGTTTAGATCTAAGGAAGTATTGTTGGCTTTCTCGTCGTCCTCATCAGTAGACATGTAATCTTCTTCTTCATTGTCTAGGGTTTCCTCATCTATGTATTCAACCTGATACAAACATTATTGTTAGATTATGAAATACAATACAACAAATGTAATTGATAAAGGAACTACTCCTTTTATTCTCTTAAAATATTATATTGCACTATATTATTAAAGAAGGTTAAAAACAAGACATACCTAATAAAATCTTGTTTTTATTAGAGGAAAGACTGTCTCATCGTATAGTTTTGACACAATAGTACAAAATTCTTGTTTAAGTTGGTATAAAATGATCAAATATGGGAGATTCAACAAATCTAAAGACTTAATAGGTGAAAAAATTGGTAATAACCGGAAAACTCACCTCTAAAACATGTCTAGGTAACTTAAGAGACGGAACAGCTTTATCCACTAACACCATCTGATCATTCTCATCACACTTGAAGCAGTCGATGGAGAAGTGTTGCATACAAATATATGAGTAGTCCGTTGGAGTCCAGTTGTTCCGACCTGTTAGGTCTGTCCAGATCTGTCTTAGGTTTGCATCCTCTGGAAACCTGTATAAAGACAAAAATTATTAAATGCTGTATTGTAGATATTATTTTCTTATTGTATGATTGCGTAACAATACCAAAGGAGCTTACACATATGGTTCTTTTTTATTTGGACTACTAACCAGTTAAAGTACAATGAAGTCTTATACCATTTACAGTTTTTTCAAAGAAAGCTAGGATGTTATTATCTTAATAGATCCGATATTTTATGAAAAGGTAGGAAGTGGTGCTTATCATCACTTTACAAGTCCCGTACAATGAAAGACTAGCCTTTTATTAAAATACTATTTAGTTTTACCTAAAAAAAGACTCAGCATCCAAATTCTTGAAGTCTTCACATCCCAACACAGCACAGGCTTTAGTTATTTCTGTGTCAGCATCTGCATTCTGTTTCAGTTCTGGTGCCACCATAGCTGTGAGACAAGTCAAAGAAATATTTTATATTCTAATACCATATCAATCACAAGTAGCAGAAGGCCAATGATTTTCAGTTCATATGTACATCAACAAATAGTTAAAAAGGACTGTTTGCTTGAAAAACATGATAAGAAGCAAGTTTCAAGACTTGAATGTGTAGAATATGAGTCTATCCATGTTACTTTTATTACATTATAGCTATCTTTAACTTTCTGCCATACAATGACACAGAAAGTCATATTACAAATTTTATACACTGATAAATACTTCTTTTGAATTTCAAATCTTGTTATTTACTTTCTACTCACCAATAGGCGTAGACTTCGCTTTATTATCGCCGTGCTCAGTTGTATTCTCCTTCATTTTATAAGTCTGAGTTGTATTCATCTTTTTAAAACAAGTTTAGCTGAAAAAACACGACCGTTTTATTTGCAATTCGTTTAGAAAAACAAATTAAATAATAAATAGTAAATATGGGATTTTTTCACAAGAAGCCTGCAAGATAGGAGTACAATCAACACCAAGTAGATCTCAATACATAATTACTGTAAACTTACTTTATTAGTTGGCCCTTTACACAACTAATAGGTCGAAATGGCCGGCAGCGAAAAACCTTAACAAAATAGGTTAATCGCTTTTTTATTTACACTATATTAACATTTTGCTGACACAACTTATAAGCAACGAAAACAACAAAACTGTTTATTTTGAATAACATAGGCTTATATTATTTGTAACTTGTAATCGCGTTCTTTGTAAGTTTTTATGGTTTTTAAAATACTCTTTCATTGAAAAATTGTGGCAATGAATGATTGAATGACATAAACAATGAAATAGTTTCGTTCATTATCTCATATCAGCGTATCAGTCCTAAATTCATTCAAATTTGAACGATTTTTAAATTACGGAAATAAATAGTCATGCGCTTGTCAACAGTAAAATACAAATTTACGGTTTTCTTCAATATTGACTATTTAACAATTATTTTCTATTTATTTAAAATTTGACAAAGCGTCTAAGGAGAACTTGATTTGTAATATTTCATTTATGATTTTAATGAATAAATAAAATCAAATTATTTTTCTACCATAGACTAGCTTGGAAATATAGACCAGTCGCCTAGTGATATGATAATATGACTTCTTGACTGATGTTTCTTGTTTGTCTTGTCACTTTTTCTAAAATACGTAATTTTTGGGGAGACCTTTGTTGCTATCAATTGATGTTATTGCAAGTGCATCTAAAAAATGGTTGATCCAATATTCGATTATCAATTTAGGCTTATTCTTATTGGAGACAGCACAGTGGGAAAAAGTTCTTTGTTGAAATATTTTACAGATGGGAAATTCGCTGAGGTAAGTACATACAGTCGCCTTTGTTTTGATGTTATTTATACGATTTGTGTTGTAAATTGCGCGTTAAATTTTAGCTGTCTGACCCTACGGTTGGTGTGGATTTCTTCGCAAGGATCATAGAAGTGCAAGATGGGACGAGAATTAAGCTGCAGTTATGGGATACGGCGGGCCAAGAGAGGTTTAGATCTATAACAAAGTCGTACTATAGGAACTCGGTTGGTGCGTTACTAGTGTATGATGTGTGTAATAGATCTAGTTTTGAGCATATACCTCTGTGGATGATGGAGGCGAAGAGACACATAGAGCCTCACCGGCCAGTGTTTGCACTGGTGGGCTGTAAGGTGGACCTGGTGGGCACAGATAACAAAAACGGTGCGAGAAGGGAAGTCACTTGTGAGGAAGCTCGTATGTTTGCAGAAGAGAATGGTGAGTTGCTCAACTGTTTCACAATATGCATTTTATTTTTGTGCCAGTATTTTATCTAACACTGTTTTAATGTAGGTCAATATAGCTATGTTTTACTATTTTTATCTCAAAATATTATTTTACAAACAGATGTTAGTAGATACTAACATAATTGAATAAGAAATCTACCATATTCAATTATGTTCAGTTCTTTCTTTGACATACAAAGGAGTATTTTTATTTATTCCATGCATAATAAAGTTCTTTGTACTTTTTTATTGGATAAGAAAGGTCAACATTCTGCCAGTGCCAGGAAATGCTTCATTAATGTAAATTCCAGTGCTTTATGTGATAAATTAATCATAATTGATTTAACATTGTATTTTTAGTACATTTTCAAGTAATAAATTGGTACTAACATCCAAGTAAAGAATTTTTTTAATTAGTTGGATTGAAACAAAACCACTGGCCTTCATGTTTGTCATAATATTTACTGAATAATAAATAAATTTTCTTTTGTTTTTAGGTCTACATCATGTAGAAACATCAGCAAAAACAGGTCTGAACGTTGAAGAAGCATTTGTTCTAGTCGCTCAAGAAGTATACAACCGCATTCAAACCGGAGAATACAAAGTAGAAGATGGATGGGACGGAATCAAGACTGGTTTCAACCGTCCCAATGGTATGGACTTCAACCTTCTTGAAGCTGAAACGGTACAGTCCACATGTTGCTAGAAAAAGACGAAAGTGTATATATTTGACTCACAATAGTTTAGTAAATATACAATGAGTAAGCATAATTTTATATATATTGTGTAGATATGGTGTGGCGACTGCTGTATAAACATTTTGGTTTAATTTATATTTTGAACCTTAAGTTATAAATATTCATTTTTTTGTTTTATTGATGGTCTTAGCCACATTCTATTGAAAGGAGTTTTTATAACAATGGAAGAGATAAAAAAGTTTTTCTGTACCATAGATATTGGTATTCCATAAATGAATTTCAAATGTGTTGTAACATTTTTTTTTTGTTCATTAGTTTTTTTTAAGAATGACCATCATAGGTTTCATTGATAATATTGAAGTAACTACTATTTAAATGTGGTATAGTTAATTGTAATGTTACTAACTGAGATAAAATTATGGCATCTTTAAACAAAATACTAACATTATTATAAATAAAAAACTAGAATACTTTTAGAATTCATATAAAAATATTAAGTACAGATCAGAAAACTGCTTTGAAATTTTATTTTTTTATGCTGTTTTAATCCAGACTCGTTAATTTTGCTATTTTATGGCTATTCAATATAAATATATTCGTAAATAATAAATACACAAAATTAGCAGTACATAACTAAAACCTTAAAGTATATTTTCCATAGACACATAAGTAGATTACATCAGTTTTATTTTCTACAATAGTATTCTACTATACCTGTTATAATTATAATATAATAACATTTTACACCACATAAAATATTTAATATAATCTAAAAATCTAAATCACAATATTATTAAACAAAAATCTATAGTACAGCATAAATAACCTTTGATAATTCCTGTTAACACAAGGAAGATTTGTTGAATTGTACATCAGTAATGCATTAAAAAAAATACAATATTATGTACTACTACAATATTATGCTCAAAGGAAAAGATAACAAATTCTAAATTTAACATTTGTACTACAAAAATGTATCATTTGCATTTTAAATATGCAGGTAAACAAGTTTGTAACTGTTGAGGAATTTAATTCAGTTTGATTCATTTGTAAAGCAAAGATTTGTATTAATATTCAGATCACAATAAAAGTGAGAGTATTTGCAAGCACTGGCCACTAGACAGAAAGTTTTATGACCTAGTTTCAAAAAGTAATAAAAAATCTAGACTCATTTTGAGTACTTGGCAATGCAATGTCTTTTAAAAATACCATTAGTTTTTAAAAAGAAATATTGCCCCACACTTTTTTTCCTGTATCGTGGGTGCGTTTACAAACAATTTCTGGATCACAGTTTTGTTCCATGCGGGAATCAGCCACGGCAGCCGGTTGCCAGGCCAACGCACCAACCATGCAGTCTATCTATATTTATATGTTGAGAAATTCATTTATTTACACTTTAAAAAGAACTATAAGTACTATAACTGATGAATTGTTTAGTCTATGTAAATATTGTAAAAAAAAAATATATGCCCATAAAGTATATTTAAGATCCAAATGCCACAAATATGTTCAATGCCAGGGTTGCTAATAATGTTATTTACATACGTGTTTAAATTACCTTGAACATAACGGAGTTAATATATTCAAGCATTTTCGGAAACTAGTTGATTGGATTAGCAAACAAAAATAAGCCATGGAAATCGATAGTAAATACCAGTGGTAGACAAAATAAGGGAAGTGAATCATCTCCTATGCATAAAGGATTTAATATGATGTATAAACAATCCGTCAAAATTGATATTTTAGCCAATATATAAGTACATTTTCCATTATAACTTTCGTATGAAAATGTTTAAACTTCTTACCCGCCTCTAGTTTCAAGCCTGGTATTTAGCATGAAGAAAATGTAATTAAGAACGTTGTTACAGAAGCCTAGTTCACAGCACAACAAGGGAAAATTCCCTCAATGATACCATCTAATATTTATTTTCGATATCAACCCTGGGAACTCAAACGTCGGCTCTAAGAGAGGATAGTACAGAAGATTATCTTGATCTCATAACACCTTTACTGCCTATCTCTAATACTATTTGCCTTGTAAATGGCTTACATAATGTACTAGTAACTTACGCAGTGGCATCTGGACCGCTTGATACATTACGCGTGTAAATTGAACCAAAGAATTCGAAAATGATCCCTACGATTTTGTTTCTTTCAAACTGTATAGATTAATGTTAATCGTTTCATTAACGTCTATTAACTATAAGTTAAAAAATATTGTACCTGCAACACCATATATGTAATCGTTAGTTAACATTTGTAATTTAAGATTCGACCATTGTCGATAGTTACATGTTTTTGCAAAAATATAAAGTTACACTATTTAGAGGAAAATTAAGGGAATAGTTTAATTGGAGATATTAAATTACCGTGTAGAAGACATTTTCTACATAAATGTAATAACCACAATATTTAGCAACTCGTAATATTAGGCCCCAAAACCTTGTCACGCAAGTTTAACACTTATGTTCATTTAAATAAGTATAAATAAATGTTGGCAAAAACTTGCAAATCTAAATAAATGTGCCGTCCATTAGTACGGACAATTTTAACACATTAATTCATTTTAGAAGGCATACAAATGCATCGAATTGTGATGTAAAATCTAGACTAGTCTAGACCGTAAGATGTAGGTACGTACTACCTATAATGTCGAAACATTAGCTCACATTTTACCAATGTATCTTTCCAATTAAACGTGATGGTTATAAAGTAAGTTCTGAATTATAAATTATGATATATTAATAATAGAGTTTGTACGCCTAGATTTATTGGAATGAAGGAATATGTAAAAGGATACTGGATATAATATGGAAACCTGTAATATAAAACTGAACCGTTTTGCGCGGCACAAACACTTCCCAGCGCTTTTTTTAGCAATGCAATATTTGTTCAACTACAAATAGTTTGTTTATTAAAAATTCACAAACTTTTAGTAAAATGACTTGTTTTTTTTTCTTCTTTGCAATTAAATTGGGCACTGGTATGCGTTATACGGTTTGAGGGAAACCTACATGTTGTAATACATTTAGAACACGATTTATGTAATTTGAATAATTTTAAGGTCATCGCATAAGACTAAAAGATAACAAGATTAAAAAAAAATAATGTAGGCGATTGACAATATTATTAGTATTGTCGTTACGAAATTGTACTTTTGGACGAATGATTTAAATGTTATTTTTTAATCTTATGGTAACAGTTTGTTTTATTGGAGTAGCTTATAATACGCTGTTATAATAATGCTTTATATGAAGTAAAGTTTTTGTTAATTAAGTATCGTTTTATTTAGTTAATTGCGGAGTTATTGCGCGCTACTTCGGTGAGGTCGCGATACAGTAGGTCAAGTAAATGACCTAATTTCTATGAAGTAACTTAATTAGGGCATAAATTAAAGATATCAGGCACACGGTTACAATTCATAGTTTGATAATGACAGGCGCTTAGTGGTGACTGCACGCGGCATGCACCAGCTTATCGTGTCGTATTATTTACACGGTACCTAGTATATTGTTTTGAACAATAAATGCATAGAGTAGGTAGGTAAGTAAACACTGTCTGGGCTTGATAGTTTAACCGGAATAATTGTAGTAAACAGTTGTTGACTTAGGTTTGTTGTGACATATGACCATGGCTCTCAGGGTCAGCTTCGTTTACTTAGTCTGCGGACTGGTGACATAATCGTACTAGTCGGCATCGTCATGTCTCATCATCTTCATCTGAAGTGCTATTCAGCCGAATCCAGTTGTAAATAAGTTTGGTACCTGTGCCTAGGGCAAACCGAAAAAACAGTCCTTGGCCAACCCGGGAATTGAACTCAAGACCGGCTGGCTAGCGCGATGTAGGTTCCCCTATACGTATATAATTTATACTGTTTGGGTGTAGGTATCGGCCTCTTGACCAACAAGATAGGTAGGTATTTAGTCAATAAAGAAGCATGCATGATGCTACTGAAACTTAGTGTGGAAGAGCCATGCTTCCTCACGAATGGACTGGCTCGACCGGAGTGATACCCAAAGAGTATACCTAATAAGTATAAGGGAAGTGATACCACGGCATCACAGAAAACCAACGTGAAACAACACTTGCGTTGTGTTCTATCGTGTTAGTGAAGTTACCAGAGGCCCAATTACACGCCCCTACCACCCTCCCCCCCCCCTCTGGTGTTCCAGGTGTTCATGACCATAAAAAAACTACGTATTAGTTTTACGCCTATCATTGTAATCTAGATTAAGAAACTATTTTTACTATAGAACCTAATAGAAATAAAAAACATGCATCAGTTCTATCGTAAAACCGTAGCGTAGGTAATTTAATTCGTCTGTTCACTCTCCTTGCTAACATAGCGTGACGATTATTACGTATAGTAGGTATATCAGATTGCATGATTTAAACTAGGATTAACATTAACTGTTACGTTTGTTATATAACGGAGTAGTAATTAACAATGAATAATTCGCGCGCTAGTGCTTCGTCTGTTTTGCTGGTCGATAGAGACAGGGAAGCTGAGACTAGAGTAAGAACGTAGATAAGTAGGTACTTTACATCTTGCCTAGGCCGTTAATACCTGTACGTATACAGGTATTAACGGCCCGTCTCAGGTTTTTTGAAGAGTAAAGTCATCAAATGACTCTTTCCGCTCTGAATGACACGAGAGGGAGTGTCAGACTCTTACTTACTGGCTAAAACTACCCTGTTCCAACTCTTGCTTCGACTAAACCTTACAGCCTTACATCAATACATAGTATAAAACAAAGTCGCTTTCGCTGTATGTCCGTATGTATGCTTAGATCTTTAAAACTACGCAACGGATTTTGATGCGGTTTTTTTTTAATAGATAGAGTGATTCTTAAGGAAGGTTTGTATGTATAATACATGCATATTGCACCCGTGCGAAGCCGGGGCGGGTCACTAGTAATATATATAATACTACTTACCCTTACCCTATAGGGCATCTATGATGTATGCCCTATAGGTTCGTTACTGGAAACTGGAAAGTTATGTTACTTTCTCCAACCTAACTGTCAAGATCGAGAAATCACACGTTTATCTTTAGCGAAGCATAAATGTAGGCAGGTCCCTTGGGTAAGTATAGTAAGTATATAAGAGAATCATTACCAAGTTTCATTATCTACATTCGGTCGGTACCAATAAGTAGGCATACGTAAAATTTACATCAAGGTTGATTTCTACATGATAACTTCATAAAGCTGTTTTATTAATGTTAATCTATCAACAATTTATTGATAACTTAGTGAACGTGGTGTCGGTAAGTAATGTTTACAGAAACCAGATACATTCCCGTGTTTGTAAAAAACATTTTAGGCCAGAGGATTATGAAGTACCGAAAGATCCAGTTACAGAAAACCGTAAGGAAACGTAATTGATAACTCAGCAAATATACAAAAAAAAATGTTTACAAATTACATACCTTCCCTTGTAATTTGTAAACATTTATTATTTTTCAGTCAATTCTAGTTTTTCTGGAACCAGAAAAGTGGAGAGAGAACAGTGCCGGCGTAAGGGCCACCGACCTGACACCCCGGTCGAAAATATTATGGCGCCCGCTTGAGGGAAGCATTATCAAGTGTTAGTTTTTTGCTGATCCCAAATAAAATTGAATTAAGTATTTCATCTTTCCTTTAGCGTTACCCAGAGCTAACGCAAGGACGTAGAAAGTTTTGTAGCTCCTCTTTTTTATTTGTTATTTTTTAATTTTATATATTTTTTTTACATTATTTTTAGTTTTTATTCCTTTTGATTTTTTTTGTCATTCACAAATTTTCCAGATTCTTTTCAAATTTGAATTACTCGCACTTTTTTTTACAATTCATATAGATTGAACATTTTGTTAATTATTGATCAACTTTCTTAAATAACAAATATGCATATGCACAGAGCGTAGAGTACGGTTCTAAGGGTTTGCACCAGGAGAGGCAAGAGACTCCAACTTCAAACTTTGCCGCGCCCCCAGAATTTGTCGCCCTGGGCCATCGCCCCATCATGCAACTGGAACACTTAGACCGATAGACCATGTTTATATTAACACGTCAAACGCCATTGGGGTCACCGGTGACCGGCGTTAGCGGAGGATTTACCTTCAACAGTTTTTTATTGGCAGTCAAAGTCTTAAAGAAGAAAACCCTTGTGAAGGCCAAATTGTAAGTTTTGAATTAAACATACACAGCATAGGGTTTTCTACTCTTGGGTTCTTAACAGGCCTTTTTTTAAGGGGGGAAAATCATCAAATGGCTGCTCCCGCCTGAGTGAGGCGGGAGGGAGTGTCAGACTCTTCTGACTAAAAACCACCCCGTTCCTTTTCCTGCACGTCGAGCCGGAGCCCCACGTTTTTTGTCATGTAAATAGCAGTTCACCAGTATACTGACTAAAAGACCGATACCCCGGTATCGTCCACATCTTATAAAAAAATACAATTTATTGACAATTTGCTTGACAAATGTCTAACGTAATGTCAGTTTCGTGTTGATGATTCGATGAGTTTTGTAACGCAGAAAATATAACTTTTCACATTAAAAAGAGATGTGTATAAGGATTATGCTAAAGTGTAACTGAAACAACAATACATGGCAGTAAAAAAATATAAATTTCACTGCAACATCAGAAGAATCAAAACTCATTTGGAAAACAAATCTTCCAATTGGTGGTGGTACAATAAATGAAATAATGTGAATTATAATCGAATCAGAGTGAAGAACGATAGATAAAAGTGTTAATAAGTGGAATTAAGAAAAGATGTCGTCTAGTCGATCAAAATCGTCGATTCTCGACAAACCGCTAAGCAAAGGCAAGGGGGAGGTTTCATTAGCATTCTATGCACTTTTATTCTCGGAAATAGTTCAATACTGCCAGAACCGTTCACATTCTTTACATGAACTGCAAACCAAGTAAGTTTCCATCAATATTTGGGTACCAAAAACCACAAATCATGATACTGATTACAATTTTTTATAATCTTTTTCAGATTATCAGACATTGGTCATGATGTAGGGACCAGACTCCTGGATCTATATTTTGTAAGAGAAAGGAACAGTAAGCGAGAGATCAAACTACTGAATATACTGCTGTTTGTAAAATCAACTTTATGGAAGGTGAAATAAAACACTTTTAGATGAACTTGCTAGCCTTATGGGAAGTATGATTTCTATACATATTATTCTTCACAATGTTCCAGGTCCTGTTTGGTAAGGAAGCAGACAAGTTGGAGCATGCCAATGATGATGAGAGAACTTATTACATTATTGAAAAGGATGCTCTTGTGAGTATTTTACTTTGATAAGTACTAATAACATCATAAATTCCTTTTATGATCAGTCAGCACAGCTAATTACTATGTAGGTAAGTAATAAAGATTGATTTAGTACAGAGACAGTTACCATTAGATGGCTATTTAACCAATGAATAGTAGAATTTAGTAAAATAATGGAATAGAAAACTACTGATTCAATCAATATTTATTTTCTTACCTACAGTGGCGTGCAGTCCATATAGGCGAAAAGGCTTTGCCTAACTATAAATATCGTGAATATATAACATACATAAAATGTACAAACGCGTTTATTAAAATTCAATAATATAATAAAAGTTTGTAAAAAAACGGCTAACATAAATACGCGCCTTTGTAAAGTAATGAATGCGCCCCGCACGCACCACGCATGCGCCACTATTCCTTAAATCTTGGTTGGTAGTACTGACGTCACAAAAGAAATGTACCAAAAGTATGCACCGCGCATGCGTGAAGTTCACGACCATAGTCACGGTACAGAATAACCATTCATAATTATATTACACGATTCCTGTTGATTGACAAAATGTTTGCAACTAAAAAATTAGAGGACCGTTCGTTCATCACTTGGAAAACGATCGTATTTTATTAAGAATTCTAAAACAATAAAACAGCAACAAGTTATTGTATTTTTAAAAACAATTAAATTATAAAAGGTTTTAAATTGATAAAATCTGTATATCGTAAAGTACTGATGAATGGAGTACATCAGCGCCATCTATTGAATTTTTTGTTGAAACTTCTGAACTCGTTCGATATAATGCGAATGTATTTTTATAAATGCGTATTTAACAAATATGTTTCAAGTGTTTTAATTAAAGCTTAACATTTTTACGCGTTGTAGGTTTATAGAAATTTTAAACGAGGAGTTGACTTTATTATTATAAAAGTTAAAAGGAAGTTATTGAAACTTCAAGATGGCGCCATTTACAACGTTTCAAATTATATGAATGAATGTTTTTTAGTATGAAATATTGGTTTAAGACGATGATGCAATTTCATTTGACTTACTAAATTAACCTTTGTTTTTTTTAAATTAAACGCTGCATTACCTTAATTTTTAAGCTACATTTTTTTATAATAAACACTCAATTGACTATTGGTAATGACTTCAATTCGTTTCCAATGTTTTCGGCCATATTGTTTTCATGTGATGTGCGATCGCTTTGTTTATGTTTTCGTTTAAATTATTAGGAATTAGTTTTAAACATAAAGTTGCATAAATGTGTAGTAGTAGTTAAATATATGTGTAGGTTTTTCAAATAGTGTATTTGTTTATCAGTTTCTAGTACAAGTACCTATATTATTCGATTGTGAAGTGTGTGTGAATAATAGGTAATTTTATGTGTTTGTTGAAAGTAAAAACAGTAAGATTTCGCAAGAAAATGTCCTTTATCGGACTAGATTCAGGTAAAGACCATAGGCAGAGGTGTACTCGAGTTACGAGAATTGACCCAAGTAAAAGGTAGGTAATGTAAATATGTACTATAATGGATCTTTTATTTGATTTTCTTGTTTATTGTTTGATAATTCTTAAAAATATCAACTTAGACTTCGGGTTGTACTGATTCACATATTAATTTATTATTAATAATTATGTAATGTAGTAATAACATATGTACCGCATAGACTCGGCCGGCTCGGCCACAGCCGGCCGCGCTTGTTATTGTTTTGTTTGTTGACATAATGTAGGTACCTACGCTCTTAAATTCGTAATATATTATGATTTTGAACAGATTGATTAAACTAAACAATTCCATAATGAAATTTGGTTCATCAAATTTATGCCTTATTATTAAAATAAATAATAGATCCTTCATTATTTGTAAGTTTTGTTGGCTTATTCAATAGCTGATGAAGTACTTCACAAAAAATACGCGAGTTGTCAGTGTATGTAATTTGGCGAAAGAATACACCACAATATTCTTGAACGCACTTTTCGAAATGTATTATGTACATGTACCTATCTTGTGTGAGCATGATTGTATGACCGGCGGGGGGAGAGGGGTTTAATCATACGATATTTAGTTGCCTACCCTGTCTCGAAAACCTGTGCACGCCACTGCTTACCTACATAGGAAATAATTGTCCTGATTGTAATAAAAATCTCCCCTGGAGGCGCAATCATCCTCAAATTCATAATCCCCAAAAGGCCAGCAATGCACTTATAATACCTCTGGTGTTATGGGTGTCCATGGCGACGCAGATTGCTTACGACCAGGAGATCCGTCTACTTATTTACTCATACAATTAAAAAAAATACACCAAACCTCTGTCCATCTTAGGTTTTTTAAATAAATTACCAATTTATCCATAGCCATTATGAACTAGCTCAGTATACCTACTCGCATATTACAATGGAGATGCACATTATATGTAACACTTTACCAATTTCAGAAAAACCAAGATTAAAACATTTTTACAATGATTACAGATCAACAAGTTCATAAGTGTACCGAAGGACAAGGGCTCTCTCAATTGCGCCACATTCAACGCAGGCATTATAGAAGCGGTACTCACTAAGAGTGGATTTGTAAGTATGATTACAATTACATAGTTACCAGTATGATCGCTCACCATTACATGATCTGTCTGCTCGTTTGCCTCCAATTCCTTAAAAAAAACTATTAAACTTATTTTTTTATAGTTGATGGGTCGACTTTTGACCACTATTTAAGAAACTGCTACACAATATGTAACTGAAAATATTGTTCATCTATAGAAATCTTAACAAATATTCCATTCATTCCAAACTCCTTACACTTACAATGTTGAATCAGAATCACTTAGGTTTAAATATTCCCTTGCTCTGCTTTTCTGCAGTAAGCACCTACTGTAATGGTTGCATTAAGCATTCTTGGTGATCAAATCGTTTATTTCAATCACTCACACATGGTTATTATGTTAAAGATGAATCATGAAGGTAGAAAGATCTATTTAATATTCCATTTTTTCATTTCAGCCTGCCAAAGTAACAGCCCACTGGCACAAAGGCACTACCTACATGGTGAAGTTTGAAGACTCAGTCATAGCAAGAGACAAATCCCTAGATGATCGCTAACTTGTGTTCATACCTCCTTACAGTTCGAAAAATAATTTTCCCGCCTTTCCCCTCGAGGGAGCGAGACGCAAGTACACAAATGCAATACGAGTGACAGAGATGACACAGAGCCTCGAAATGGCGGGTTTATTCGAATCTTACTGTACTGATAATACAATGCATGCTATGTTGTTAAGCTATACTATGTTGTATGAAGTTCTTTCATTGTTTAATTTAATTGATTATAGAATATAAGCCTTTTAAATTGTATTGGAATGTTTTGATTAGAATGTTAAACAGCATCAACTTTCTTCGTGTTCATGAAGCTTCTTTGGTCTTGCTGACTAGCAATGCACGCAACAGGCACTTGGAGTTGTAGGTGTATCTACTACCTACTTACATACGACTCATGATCAGCCTGTTTCTGTCTTCTACTGTATATATGTAGGTCTCTGCAATATGGCTCGCCACTGACCTCAATCTCTACATAGCATTATCTGCACTACTACTAGCAATGAGTGTGTAGTACCTATAGAAATGTATCCAATGTCACCCAAAAATTGTATTCTCTTCATTCTATGCCCTGCAGCTTAACAAGAAAAACGCAAAAATCAATCTACAACATATAATTGTCTACAGACTACAATCGTTTGTTCAAAATACATTATAATTCAGGCCAGTTTGTTCCGACGGTCCTTGTACTTCAGTCTGCCGCAGCGTATCTCGCGCTCCCTGTCAGTTCGGGTCTTCCAGAATATATAGCCGAGCGTGAACATCGGCGCCAAAGCAAGCAGTCCAAAAGTTATTGTTGTAAAATTAAATTGAAAGTATTCTAACTGACATGTTTTCATAGATATGAAATGTTGAATTGCCTTGTCGAACTGAAATTACATTTTTAATTCAAGTTTACGCAAATAATCGGCGTGAAAACCGAGAAACTCGTCAAAGAGAGATCTGAGCTTTTCGCCCTAAGAGGCCAGCAACACTCCTGCACTCCTTAGGTCCTCCTAAATCTTTTCTACTCACTTTCTCATAATGCTGCTGAATCCCCACTAAACTTTCTTTTGGATTTTCATAATAGGAAGAATTAAGTACAGGAAAACGGTTGCCCAAATAGGTCCTGGATAAATGAAAGAGATGTATGTAACATACAGTTTTTACCTGTTAACAAGTCCTATGTAATAGAATAGAGAATGGTCAGAAGAAAAAAGGCTCATAATACTCTCTGATATGAAAACCCTCGACTTGATGGTGGTGCATGCGACCAGTCAATGAAAGAGATTGAAAAAAGAAACTAAATTCACGCTAGTGGTAATGAACTTACAACATAGCCTGCTTCTTGGGAATGTTTACAAGGATCAGTCCTCAGTTTCAAAAATTCCTTTCTATACTTAGCACGTCTTTCAATTTGATCCAATATTATTTTACACTCAAGATCAGAAAATCCATACTTATTAGTCATTATAAAATATTTTATCAATAGTATTTTATTTATAACAGTCCAATAACAACCTTTTTGTTCATGACAGGTGTCAACATTGGTTTTCAGGCCTTTTTTTTGTAAAACTTGAATTGATAACTGCCAGTATTTAGCACAGTTCCAATAAAAACGAAAACATATTAGAAAACAGTGTTGTTCTTTATGTTGCTAAATTATATTGCCATTTATGGTTACACTGTACAACAATATTTTAATATTCTGGCTACATAAATAAAAGTAAATTAACAATTACTTGATTTTATTTCTACATGACAACTCATTTTATCTTAAATGTTCATTCAGATAATTACTGCAATTTGAACATTCTATCTTTGTAACGAAGTTCACCTTTCCTGATTTGTTCTTCACGCGTGGTCCTGTGTTTCCAGAGTATGTATCCGTAAGCAAACATGGGAATAACGATAGTACAGATTCCAAACAAGCTAGTTTTAGTATTGGCTTGGAAATGCTCTAGCTGGGTCACTTTCATTGATAAGAACTTTTGGATGGCTGGGTCAAACTGAAAAATTAGAAAAAATATTTACAATTTATTGGAATATATAAGATAATATTTGTTTATTCTTGGACTTTCAATAACAAAATTACGTAATTAAATACTCACGACATAACCAGCTTCGGATGCATGTTTGAATGGATTAGTTCTCTGCTTTAAGAACTCTTTCCTGAGCTCAGCTCGCCTTTGTGCTTGCTGTTTGATGAGGTTGTACTCCGCCTGAGAAACACCGAAAGGGTTCGTCATTTTTGCGGAAAATTGTCTCAGGTATGCTGGTGTTTAGGCTGATTTTTTATTTCGGATAGTGTGAACTGTGAAGTAGTTTACTGTCAAACTCAAATTGACATTGTCAATTTCTTTTGACATAAAGAAAATTGACATAAAAAATAAAAATATATAAAATCTCTAGATCAGAGACAATTTCTGGAAAATTACCGGTTAACCTCAGCTACAACACTATTGAACATAGAGCGATCATAGACAATGATGAACGAGAATTGAATGATTAACCGTCTTCCGGCAACCATCTTTTCGTATTCCCTTGTTGTCGTTGTCAGATCGGCGATTTTTTAAAAAGCCGCAACCATGGGTCGTATGCACGCACCTGGGTAATATTATGTGTTATTTATAGTGTATAATGTGTGAATAACGATAGAGTATAAAATTTTCGTTGTATAAAAGTTTTTGTGACATTAACATAACCTACTCGGTGAGTGGTCACCACATGGCTTGATGTTACAAAGTGTGTGTTTTATGATTTCAGTAAGGGTATCTCCCAATCGGCGCTGCCATACAGGCGCAGCGTGCCAACCTGGCTAAAACTGACCGCTGACGATGTAAAGGAACAGATTTTCAAACTTGGCAAGAAAGGCCTTACTCCCTCCCAAATCGGTAAGTTGTGCTTCGGCATCTTACTTGACTTGATGTCTAAAACTCAAGTTCTTCAGTATTTTCTTGCTCATAGAACACTTCCAGGTGTTATTGGATACATTTGAAAGGAATTTGTGAGGAATATTTATCAATGTGGTTATCAATCTTGAACCTGACACAAAATTACATAGCTCTGGTGATGTACGTCCTCTCTAAGGTCTTATCTTGAAAGTCACAGCGTGGTACATATTATAGTTTCGCTATCAATTATCACCTGATTAATTTAACAATATTCCAATGCTGCATGTTTACAGTGAAATGTCATGTTTTGTGAACAACACTTTTTTGCTGTTTTATTTTCTTTTGAAATAACAGGACTTGGTTATTTAAACAGTCAAACACCAAGCAGTCACCGGTGACCACAACCTATTGTTCTATAATTGTGTCTATAATGACGGTACTCAACGAGTTAATGTGCCCATAGAATGAAATAGAACTGAGCTAATTTCTTTTTTTCTACAAATAAGTTATTGTCTTTTAACTTTTAAACAACAAACACTTCACTTACTGACGATGGGCCGCCTCATGCTGCTCTTTTAATGTTTCCATGATGTAAATTATTTACAACACATGCTTTGAGTTAGTTTATCATAATTGATGATTATTTGTTCTCTAAGTGGAAGTGCCATATCTTAATTTAGATATTGATTTCTTTTTTGTTCAGTCTTTCTTAACCAATTAATTTGCATCAATTTGCATTTGGGCTGACCAGAAACTTATTCTTTCAAATCTTAATTAAAAACTGGACAATAACAAAAGTGGTGCAGTTACTGCAGTTTAAAGTGGATATTTAATTGGCAATGTAAATTAGGTTGGAAATAAGCAACAAAAATTCCTTGCTGCAACAAAAAAAATGCTGAATGAATGCAATCCCTAACTTCACTCCTTATTGTTTCCAGGTGTCATGCTCAGGGATTCCCATGGAGTCGCACAAGTCAGATTCGTTACTGGTAAAAAGATCCTGCGTATCATGAAAGCTATGGGTCTTGCCCCTGACCTACCTGAAGATTTGTACTACCTGATCAAGAAAGCCGTTGCCATGAGGAAGCACTTGGAACGCAACAGGAAGGACAAGGACAGCAAATTCAGGCTGATTCTTGTCGAATCCAGAATTCACAGGCTGGCCCGCTACTACAAGACAAAGAGTGTGCTCCCACCCAACTGGAAATATGAGTCGAGCACCGCCTCAGCCCTGGTGGCTTAAGTTATAATAAACTAATAAATTTCCAAATATGTTTTATTTATAGTTTTAGTAAATGAACCAGATTTTTAAGCTGTTCTGACCTTATTAATTTGGCTATTTATTATCTTTTTTTTCTTTAACTTTTAAAAGATTGCCAACTTAAACTTAGTCTCATCTGGTCAGCATGAACCCTAATTCTTTACTAGGTAAAACGCAGAAAGATATTCGTGAAATAAGCACCCATGGGCTTAATACTCTTTTTTGATGGACATGTGTATACACCTGATTCACCCTATCAGGTTTGGTAGACAAAACCTGTGACTTGATATCTGACACTTCTCAATAGATCTGCCTTGTTTTCTGATGATAAAAAAGTTAACTCGTATGGTTTGTACTCACTAAAATTCATTATTTATGATTAGCAGTAAACATGTTACCCCTTTTTTTAGAAGATTAAAAAACCTTGGTGAATACATTAGTCTTAAACTGTCAAACACCAAGCGGTCACCGGTGACCGCAACCTATTGTTCTATAATTGTGTCTATAATGACGGTACTCGATGAGTTAATTATAACTTCTTAGTACCTACCTAAACTATAAGAAGAAAAAGACTTCACAAATAAGTACCTTATTTATTTCTCTCAATGATGTTCAAAATCAAAATTCAGATTAAAAAAATTGCAGATACTGTATTTAGTTTACAAAAATTAACCTTATGAGATAAAATAACTTACATCTATTAGTAGGTATAAATCTCTATTATATCACACAGTTGATGTGGCTGATTGATAAAGAATAAGAACTAAGAAAAAAATACAGCCGAACATAGTACCTCCTCCTTTTTTGAAGTCGGTAGAATTGGGTCAAGTCTCATGGAGATTTCAGTTAATGAACATTGATAACTGTTAGGTGCTGTAAAAATAATTTCATTTCTATAGTATCTTTATGAATTATGAGGTTTGAACTGAAGTCACAAACTCAAAGCAAACAGTCTTTTTAAACATAAGGATTCCAGTTACTTCCATCTTCAGGATGCAGACTATTTGTAATGAGTAGCACTACATCAACTATCCACCAGATTCCTAGCCCTCCTAATGTGAGGAGTTTGCCTACAGCTGTCCCAGTCTGCCCAAGGCAAAATCTGTCCATACCTAAAAACCCTAAAAGTATACTATAGATTAGCGTAGTGGTAAAATAGTGTCCCGAGTACCGGACACAAGGGAATCCATCTCTTAGAAAACTTCTGCTTCCATGACACTCGATCCCATCCAAAGCTTTGCATTGTACTTTGGTTTTCTCAACCTGGTCATATCTAACACCACCAAACTTCACACAGCCGTAACCAACAGATTCCCTCGCAGTATGATTCCCTTTGTGGTCGATTGGTTCATCACAATCCAAGAATTCTAGCGGTAAAAAGTTACATTTCACTAGTGGACCAAGTGGTCTATACTTTTCGTTGGAATATGGGTCAGCTTCTGATAGAATTGTTGGTATAATTAATAGAAATACTGGTATCACGACAGTGGAACGTGGTCCCCACATTTTCACTTAGTTTCCTTTCGTTTCATAAGATTTTATTGGCTTTACTTCTAATATCAATAAACAAATCGTATTCATGACCAACTCGCCATGACAGTCAATGAGCGAGCGTTTAAAAGACGGTTTTATGATTCGAGAGATTTGTTTAGAATGTTGTATCTCGTATTTTACTATTAATTCATCCCGAGCTAATTCATATATAAAATTATACTGATTCTAATATGAAGGCAGGCAAATTAAATAAAAAATATTTTACCATATTACCTTATTTTTATAGCAACAATAGATAATTTCAACTTTTCAAACGATATCCGTAAACTGTAAAGGCACTGATGTTATATTTATAAATCTATGCACTGAATCCATTCAGTTCAGAAATAGAAGGTTATTATTATTTTTAAAAACGTTATCATCAGCAATCTTTCCATAAAAAAGGTTTCTTCATCATCAATCATGAGGAATAAGTGTGCAAGACCTATGTAATATGAATATGTTATTTTATTACAAATTGTTTTGTAGTCAAATATATTATTCGTTTTTCTATAAATCTTAAAATATATCTCTCACAAACGTAACCGAATAATTCCCAAACCATATTCACGTATGTCAAACTGACACTTGATGTCCGTACATTTTTGTCTGGCTCCGTAATGATTTTTATTTTCACAATACAATAAAAAGTTATAAGTGTAACAAGAACATGGAGGTGTTTAATAAGTTCTATTCGTCAGTTAGTAACACAGTTTCGCAATTATCTGGAGTTTTGCCTGGAAATCCTGTGACAAGAGAATTTGAGGCGACACAGTTCATAGCGAGCGCTGGTCCAGGTAAAAAGGATTGATTTGATCTATAATTTGCATTCAGAAGACATGAATACTGTCTATTGTGCACCTTATTTGCTGTGATTGTGCGTTCTTTGATTACCCACTTCAGTGATATACGTGACAGGGAGTGGTGTACATTTGATTCTATTTGTTTTTGTGAACATCTATCTATAGTTATGGAATGTTTCAATAAGTCGATAACTTTCAATATTAGCCAATCCAGCTGAATGAGATACGGTTGTGTCAGGGGGTGTTTTTGCTCATGTGTTATAAAAACTGAATAAAAGAACATAATATTTGTAATGTTATATATTCTAGAATGTTATTTACCTTTCTTATCTCTTCTAAATGCTTAGTCTATTGATATTTTTGTGATTAACATGCTAGGTAAACAAATGTGAATTCCCACCTAATTATGTACTTTTCTCTGATTTGCTTTAGTTTCTGTCTGATTATGTATAAAATTTTCCTAAATTAATTTATTAAGATTACTTGTTTGAAGAATGTTGAACAAACACATTCTAAATATATTGACATTTAAAATGTGTTATTAACATAATAATTATATGTATTATATTTGGAGATACAATTTAAAAAGAATATAAATGTGATTGTTATGTAAATTACATATATAATATTAAAATTAAATTATTTCAATTTCACAATAAAAGATTTAATTTCTAAGATATCTGTGTCATCGACTATGCCACATTGTTTTATTTTTGAATCATTGAAAATCTATATAATGTGATAATTAATTGCTATTACTTAATTAATCCATACATGGAAACTGTTTATCTATGTTGCAGATAATAACATGATTAATATCCTGTTCTAACAAATGTTTTTAAATTGTTCACAGGTCTATTATGGAAGATATACAAAGGCTACAAAAAATCCACAAAGCAGGAAGCATCAATATTTCTCTTCGAAAAGAAATATTTGGAAAGATGGTCCAAGCCAGACAGAGACATTATGCTGGAGACTCTAAAACGGGGCATCATACAGTTGACAAAGTTACGGCATCCGCAAATTCTTACGGTACAACACGGACTTGAAGAGAGCAGAGAGAGTCTTGCGTTTGCAACAGAACCGGTGTTCGCAAGTTTAGCCAACGTACTTGGTAATACGGAGAACATGCCGCAACCAACACCCAGTCACTTAGTCAACTATAAACTTTACGAGCTTGAGATTAAGTATGGATTAATGCAAATAGCTGAAGGATTATCGTTCTTACACAATGATGTAAAGCTTCTCCACCACAACATATGCCCTGAGTCTATCATAGTGAACCAGCAAGGAGCTTGGAAGATATTCGGCTTCGATTTCTGCATTGCCAACCAAAGTCAGTCAGGGTCTGCTCCGTTCTGGCCGTTCAATGAGTACTGTCCTGCTATGCCGGCCCTAACTCAACCAGTTCTTGATTATTTGGCTCCGGAGTATGTTCTATCTGCTACTCACTCTCCTGCCAGTGACTTATATTCTCTAGGTATGGTGATATATGCTCTGCATAGCACTGGACATCAGACTTTGGGTAATGTAGGCAATGACTATGGGAAATTCAAGAGATTTGTGAATGAGATCAGAAATCTGCCGCCTTCAAGGTTATCTTGTGTTACTGATGGCTTGAGGGAATATGTGAAGCTTCTGTTGAATGCTACGCCAGAGCTAAGGCCAGATCCTCATCAGTTTTTGAAAGTAAGTCTTAAATAATTGACTATACGGTTGAAATTAAATATGATAAACATTAACTAACTCTTGGTCATCTTTTTGCAGATCCAGTATTTTGAAGATGTAGGTGTGAAGACCCTGAACTACTTAGACTCTTTATTCCAATGGGACAACCTCCAGAAGTCTCAGTTCTACAAAGGCTTACCACAGATCATACAAAAGATGCCGCATCGTATCTGCATCTACCGTATACTGCCATGTCTTACCAAAGAGTTCGTAAACCCGCCTATGGTTCCTTTCGTCCTCCCCAACGTATTACTCATCGCTGAAAACTGTACGAAAGAAGAGTATGTAAAATACGTACTCCCTGTTCTGAAACCTGTGATGATGATCCAAGATCCTATACAGATCCTCTTAATCTTTATGCAGAAAATGGAATTGCTTTTGAAGCTGACTCCAGGAGAGGAAGTCAAGTCAGATATATTGCCGATGTTGTACAGGGCGTTGGAATCGGATGCCCAACAGATTCAAGAGCTATGTTTGTCCGTACTACCAACATTTGCGTCTCTGATAGATTACCCGGCGATGAAGAATGCTCTCCTGCCGCGAATAAAGAAATTGTGTTACAATACCAATTACATATCGGTGAGAGTAAACTGTCTGCTGTGTTTAGGTAAATTGTTAGAGCATTTGGACAAATGGTTGGTGTTGGACGAGATTATACCGTTCTTGCCGCAAATACCTTCAAGGGAACCGGCTGTGCTTATGGGGATTCTAGGTATGTGTATTTTTTTTACCAAAGATCATGATCATACTAAACTTCTGATCATTTTAACAACAATAAACATTGATTACTTACCTTGATTTTTCTACGAGATTACCTTGGCATGCTTAGAAAGCGTATTGTGTATAAAGTCATGGATTTTTATGCTTTAAAGAACTCATAAACTGACTTTATTCCGAGGCAGAAACTACTGCGCCATTTTTTATACCTACTGCCAAGATGCAAGTGGTCTTGTACTAGATTCCAGAGGCGGGCAAAGCGTTTTTAAGCATTAAAACCTTAACTGAGTATTTGTACGAAGTTAAGGATTATGAGTTATTTATAGTACTTATTATACATAGTATTGCCCTCTACTTTTTAACACAGATTCGCTTCCTAAACAAAAAATTATTTCCTATTTTTCAGGTATCTACAAACTAGCCCTCAGTCATTCCAAGCTAGGCATCACCAAGGAGGTGATGGCAACGAAGGTACTCCCGTTCCTCATTCCTCTCTGCGTGGAGAACGGCCTCACTCTGAACCAGTTTAATGCCCTCATCACGTTGGTGAAACAGATGATATCCAAAGTGGAGACTGAGCATAGAGCCAAGCTGGAACAACTTAATTCTATTAATAATGAGTCTAAGTGAGTATTATGTAATTTAAACTTTAATCTGAAGAGGCAGAATGATGTTTAAATGTGGGAAAGCCATGCTTCGGCACGAATGGGTCGGCTCAACGTAGAGATACCACGACCATACAGAAAACCGACGTGAAACAACGCTTGCGTTGTGTGTCGTCGTATGTGTCAGGTTACCGGACGCACAATTATCAATAATCTCCCCAATCCCTGAACAATCCTCAAATTCCTAATCGCCAAAAGGCCGGTAACGCACTTGTAACGCCTCTGGTGTTCCGGGTTTCCATGGACGACGCCGATGCTTACCATCAGGTAATCCATATCCATAAAAAAATCGTTCAGTCCAGATGACTGCTTGGTTTATAGAGCGGCTGGGCTATCAGTTACTGGGTAAAAAGTAATATTTACGAATTAAGTATAAGCGTGGGTTACTCACGTGAATATACTGAGAAAAGCTCTACTAGTTTCGAACCACAGAGAGGTTCTTCCTCATGAGCAGCGTGCGCGGTCGCGGCGACGTCGCGCAGCTCACAGCACACAAATCAGTGAGCTGCGCATATCTCACGATAGTTGTTATAAAAAATATTTACGAAATCGTGACGGACTACACTGATAGTCATAACCATTTGGTTGATGCCCACTGCGGCATCCATTGAGATACTAAATCATTTTAAAGAGCCTTCACCAAGTTTGGGAACCACGTCTCACTGCCATATCTACATTCCATCATCACTGGTTACAGACACCAGTCCTAAGTTATAACTTAATTCTTTTTTCCAGGATAATGGAGCAAACAATGTCTCCATCACCAGACACGCTAGTTGCGGCACCGGCCCCACCTTCAGACCTGGACAAGATGTTCACTGGGCTCGGCATAGACCCCTTCTCCTTCAACCAGCCACCAAGCAAGGAGAAGGAGCCACCAGCCCTGCCTGTTGTCAGCAATAATGGGAGACTTACCATTGAGGATAAACGGAGGTAAGCAATTTTGTATTGCTTTTTTTACATCCTAATTGACATTGTAGTGATGTCAGATTATTGTTAGTACCCCTAATTATTATTATTCCGCTGGAGACATAGAAGCCCACTACACATTTGACAGAGATTGGGCCTTCTCTAACCCTCCTAGCAAACATGGAAATTATTTAAAACGCTCTCTTTATAGGATAAGTCGGTAAACGAGCGGACGGACCTGATGGTAAGCAATCGGCGTCGCCTATGGACACCCGAAACACCGGAAGTGTTAAAAGTGCGTTGCCGGCTTTTTGGGTATTAGGAATTTGAGGATTATTGGTGATTCGGGAACTGGGGAGATTGGCGACGGGGTAGTTGGGCCCCCGGCAACCTGTCTGTCTGAATCTGTTAGTAAATTAGTCTAAGTGCACCATTAAACATTGCAATAACAAACTTAACAAAGTTTTTATTTGCTTCCAGGATAGCGCAGCAGCAGGAAAACGTCCGAAAGTTCTCGAACCAGCAACAACCGAAAGCTCTTCCTCCGCCTCGGAGCACCGCCTTGACACATAAACCAGTGGACTTGGCCGCAACACTCTTACAATCCAACCTGAACCAACTCTCCAAACCCATCCCCTCTTCAGCATCACACCCTGCCCCCCCAAGCCAGGGCATGACACAACTAACCAACACACATTTCAGTACCACAGGCATGACAAACTCCAATTTCGGTTTCCAAAACCAATTCAATGCGTTTGACAACCAACCGGCTTTGCCAACCAATTGGAACGCACCATCTTCAGGTAACTTTAACAATAAATGGGCCAATAACCAGAATCAGGCTCAGGCTAAGAAACAGGATTGGTCGGCCTTTGAATCTCTATTACCTACCCCTAATAATAATACGCCGTCAAATAGTAACACAAAGAAACTGTCAGACAATGAAATGATGGATCTGCTGAGCTAAATCCGGTGTTTGGTTATCTATGGTTATAGTTCGGGTTGCCAGACAAAAATGTTCAAACGTCTAAATTGTGGGATGTGTCTGTGTTTACGGATTTATAACACGACTATGTGATTTAAAAAAATAGGATAAATGAAGAAAACGTGAAATTTTTAGTTTTACATTTTTTTTATTTGAATCGCTTTTATTTTCGTTGGACAGTTTGTCACATCACATTCCTGCTCGTATTTATTATGATTTAGGTGCAACAAAATGAGGGTTTTTTTTTATTAAAATGACATTTTTCATATTAAATTTATTATTTATTCGAATTATATAAAAATAGAATAGCTTTTAAAATTATTTTTTAAGAACATATCATATTTATTACTTTTTGTCAGCCAATGAAAAGGTCACTTTAGAAATGGTATTTTATTTTAATATATGGCCACATTTCGAATAGTTTATAATGCTCTAAAACACCAAGCTTACTATTGCTTTGAAACTGATATTTTAATTTAATTGTATCGTAACTAAATGAAATGCTGAATTTACAGATAGTATTGCTAAAAGTAATTCCTAGCTTTCTTACTTTTTATTAGTGACAGCTATTTAATAAAAACTTACAGGTACGATGTAAAGACACAAGCATATTAAGCTACCCCTATTCTGTCAAATTAATTTCAACTTTATCGACATGGGCTGGTTGGACCCGACCTACATCCAGTGGCTCCCTGCGGCCAATATCAAATCGCCTGTTATTGTTTCTGTAATAAAGTCGATAGTTGATTAGCAAAATTTGGGGTAGCTTATCGTCCTTTTGTCTGTATTAGGGAACTAGGGAATTGAATTGTATTAAACGTTTTAGGATAGAAATATTTTATATGTACACAATTCTTGGCCAATATTACTAGTCTTTTGCAATATCTACAACCCAGTCTTGGTCTACTGTAAACTTATTTAGCGTCTTATATCCTATTGTTAGAGTTCAAAATTGAATAGCGTTACTCTTATGTTTTATAGCAAGAGGATATAAAATTGGACACCTCTATGTATTGAAAAAACAATCTTATGTTTATAGTGTAAAGGTATTAATTTGCTCGACTTTTTTCGCATGATAATCCGTTAGTAATATGTAGTTGACGCACTGGGTACACTTAAGACACGATTTGAATACATATTAATCAAGTAAACCCTTTTTGGCCAATTGCTTCAATCGATTCTAATCCATATTGTTTAGTAATAAGGTAGCTTTACACTTGCAGCATGTTCATAAAAAGGTGGAATATTCCTTCCGATGGTGATAGAATTTTTCAAGTCGATACGTTAATTACGGAGCCTATTTAATTGAAACAAAGAAAAATATCGTCCCTTTTGTAATGTAAATAGAGTTCATAATGTATTTAATAAAGTGATCAACTCTGGTTAGTTTGGTGTGCTCCCGCCTTTTCCCAGTGCGTTGTCTACCATAGATGTGATACATTTATTTTTTAAACAGACTGCATCAGATGTGATCTCTTAAAAATAAACAACTTACGAAATATAATTTATTGTTTTTTTAATTATTTATTTAAGTATGGCAAGACATATTATTTACATGTAGCAACACTTTAGCTTATAAATAAGAACTAATTTTACAGTTTTAAAATATATTAAACTGTCAAATACCAAGCGGTCACCGGTGACCGCAACCTATTGTTCTATAATTGTGTCTGCAAAACCGGTACTCGACGAGTTAATTATTGGTTACTTAACATTAACACTCGCATTATAAAAGTACATTGTACAAAATGGATTATTAATCTTAAATCCGAGTTCAAAATTGTTATTAATTAAAGATAATTAAATTAATATACTATAGGTACTTAAGTAATTATAAATCTTGATTGCAAAAGACACACATTCCGCCATCATTACTACTATTATTACACAACCTATTTCGTTTTTATTATGCAGTTAGTACTACTTCGATATGATTGTTATTGCTTATGTTACTCTGAGGATGGTACAGTAGCCAACTGGTCAATCTTCGTTAGACTTACGACTTTATTCCAAAAAAATAAAGTTGAAATTGGAATAGCCATTTGACAAAAAGGTGTAGACTGATCTGAGGGCCACTGTACCTTAATTACTTAACGTATTTTGATTTTAGTAGCACAATAACTATTATCAAGTTGTCAGGAAAATCCAAGTTAAATCTAACCATCCTAAAATGGTAATAAAGACGGTAACTTTTCTTAAATCATAAGGTTCAAAATACTAAACAAACATTACCGTCTTCTCCTAAAAGACAAAGCGAAGAACATGCATGCGGTCACAGTTTGAAGTATACTGGCTGTCAAGAAACACGTTTTATAATCATAATTATAAAGCAGAGACCACGTCATGATAAATATGGCGACGATGGTGTTCGAAGCTGTCATGGTGGCTGTGGTATCGAATTCGTTTAGAGTACTGTTATATAACGGCTGTTGGAGAATGCTGGACGCTGCTGTAGAGAAACTGGCCAGCATACACCATACCACTAGCAGGCTCTTGTTGCTGGACATGGCTATACCTGGAAAAGAAGAATTTCGATTTAACTTAACTTCTTAGTCTAAAAAGAATCGAAGAGGATATTGCGTTTGTGATTTCCCAGAAGAGAGGATAGAAGTTAGTTTTAATTGTATGGTGTCAATGAAAGGAAACAGGTAATACTAGATCTGGCTCAATTTTTAAGTTCTAACTCTCGTCGTGGAAATCCAAATACTTAATTTTTTTTAGCAGAAAACCATATACTCTTATGGTGAATTGAAAGACAAAATCTTAGATAAACCGGTCTCCAATCATGCCCAAGAATTTCCTAGAAGAACATATTACACCAAGGATACAGAAATCGTTAATTTTGCAGACATTGATCCGCTCTATGGACGTTAGCACTTACCATAGAAGCCCATGGCACCAGCTACGCAGAAGGCAGCACATAGTCTTGCCTTCTCATTGATGGACTTTGGCAGCACCACACACAGCATTATGAAGCACAATGCTGACCCGTGTGCTGCAGCTATCAGTGTTGAAACCTGAGAAAGGACATCAGGAATGTATAATAGATTTTTTTAAAGAAACGTTTGAATTCTCTGCTTGTTATTTCTAAGAAACGTGGTAATGTTTCCCTTCTTTAGAAGACACAGTTTAAATTACATTCTTTTGTTCTTGAACGCCACGCAATTTTAATATTTAAGCTTCTTTTCCTTATTCATAAAGATACTGAATGCAAATATATAATCTGCAAATGGTTACAAGGAAAATCGCTCTTGAAATGTAACATAATTAATGAGCTGATGTTTATCAAATAAGAAAAGACTACTTACAGACCAAATGTTCATTGAAGGATTCTGCTCCCATATCAAAGGTGGGAAGATTAATCCAAGAATCAATATAGAGAATGTCGTACAAATATGCAGTAACGCGTACAAATAGAAGTTAATATCCTTCAGCATGTTAGTTATCGTGAAGAAGTTCTTCTTCAAAGAGGCTGTTCTTCTAGCAGTACCTGGTGACACTTCAGCTGCAAAGACTACGCTGTTCGTTGGAGCATTTACCGTCGTCTCTCTGTACAAAGGCTGGGGCGCCTGTCTATCAATATTCTCCAACTCCTGGTACCCATTAACTCTCGCATAACTATTGATGTCCAAAGAGCCAAAATCTGAAGAAAATCTATTCGATCCTGTGTCATACATTGTGCTGAAGTCAGACGAAAACCTGGACTGTTTGGAAGCTGGTCTGTTTTCTCTGTACTGAATGGAAGGATCTAGAATTTCTTTAGCGTTCTTCTTTGAGTTGAAGACTACCACATCAGTACCGTCTTCTTCTACTGCCATATTATTATGTGATGATGATGATTCCCCTTGAGAGCTGCTTGGTTCATTGTTCTTTCGTTCAGCTTCACTCTTCCGTGCTTGGTTGGAGAATATGACCTCATCTTCGTCCTCTACAGCGTCTCTGAGCATGTTGTATGTATGCCGTAGAACTTTTTCTATGTAAATGGGTCGTGTGTATGATGCTAAGAAGATGCAGTTCTGCATGATGATGGCTCCGTAGATCATGACGACTACATCTCCGGAGTACACGGAACATAGATACCCGATCAGTATCGGTACGAGGCAGTTGCCGACAGAGGGCGCCATGCGCACTATCCTCTGCGCCATGGTGAGCTTCTCTCTGAAGTAATGAGTGATGATCACTTCAGTCTGCTGTCCAGTCAAGGCGCATCCGATTCCTGGAACACATAGTGCGTTTAGTTAGCCCTAGCAGTATCAATTGTGGAAAAATAAAATTAATTTCATGATTGAATGTTGTTTCAATTATTATAGAATATTTAAAATAATTCTTAAGCCTATGCAAGTAAAACGCAAATCATAGGAAGGTATGTAGTTCCCTTGCTACCTAACATTCTGATATGCTCGGGCATCGAACCCAAAAATTCTTAGCCAAATATCGCCGTAATTAAACAGAATATTTACCCAATGCCTATATACAATAGCATACATGTAGGTATTTTATCAAGCTACGTTTCCGTCATTATGTAAATACGAAAGATACAATTATATAGCGTTGACATTCTAACATTGTATTCTAAATAGATAATTTTAGTGTCTTCTCTACTTCGTGACTCGTTTCATTTATTTGTTTAACATTTTGAACGCACAATATAGACACGTACACAACCTTTATTTACACGAAATATCTTAACAAATTCCAGATCCCAGAGGCACCTACTGAGACTTGAAAAGTAGGTACTTTTGTGAGTAGGTACCTAATTGGCTTGAGTAGACCCGTGATTTCTTGCTTGGCTGTAGCGAACGAGGTACATCACCTCTTTAAAAAAAACAAAGTCTCTTAGATTTTGTTTTAAGTCAATTTATCTATTCTGTTACTTATCTGATTTTTGTTTTTACCGAACAGACTGTCGTGTTTCGCATAAAGACAGCAGCTATTGTTAATCATAGGACATTACTTGCTTACAAGTTAAGTGCAGATAATAAAATCTAATCTAGGTACGTACCTAGATTATGCCTAAACATAACAAAGATATAAACATTTTAACTACCTAGATTAGGTAGTTCTGTATATCTGAACAATTTTTATAAATAGTCCTTAGGCCTTGAATATCATTTAATATCTCTTTTTATTTCCATTCAAGTCTCTTCCGCTACTAAAACACAACATCTGTGTAAATAAGTCGTGACAATTTCATTTATAATAAAATCTAAGTTTTATTATTCCATTAAAAGTCATAGAAATCGCAATATCGTAACTTTAATGCTTTGTTAAATCGTGGATAATTATTGTTTCACTGGTTTATTAACTACGTAGATAGCTAAAAACTAAAACCTATCAGCCACAACCACAAGATCAACTACTGAACATAGGCGGAAGTCTATAGTTACTTTCGAATCGGGCAGTTAGGCTTGGAAGTACCTGCATATTGGATGCGACTCCCAGCGACCATTATCAGATCGAGTATTCACTTTGTAGATTGACGTACTTAATTAGTTACATCGTTAATTAATAATTTAAAGGCAGATAAAATAAATGTTTCTTAAAATTGAATAAATCAAGGTTAAGTAAGTGGCGGTTATGTTCTGATGCGTGTGGGGCTTATAAAATGTGATTGGTAGTTGATCTTGATACATAATTATGTGTTAAGTAGGTACATACTTATAGTAACAAAAATAAAATCAGTCAATATATCTAAGTTTGATAAGTTAATTCGCTATAGTAAGATACCCAGTGATTGATAACAATATTCGCAATAACATCTTTCACTAATGCATTAGGTAGGTACTTCGGTACTTTTTAAAGATATTTACATCATTCGTAAAAATAAGAATTCCTTGTAAGCCAATGACTAATATATACAAGTTAGCAGATATAATCTATGGACTATGACTCCTAGGATAAAGTAGGACAATAGTTTGATACTTAGTAAGTACTAATGACATTTCTAATAATTTCTTAAGTGTTTAGGTACAAACTTGAACGATAAGGTCGACTTCATTCAATGTTTCCGAGAACAATACTAAGGCAATGCACAAATAATACGTATAACTAAGTAACTCTACATTATTGGTACCTAGGTAGGTAGGTACCTACTTACATATATGTCTAAGTACTTTTCTTGAACAATAGTTTCCCATTAGGGCAACGTAAACGTAACATCTCTTAAGTATGCACTAAACTATTTAAAGACGTTTTTATTATTCCATTCTATTGAACAGTGACCTTGTCAGCAAGGCGAAACATTGAGAGTCATATATTTACTTACCTGCAAATATTCCGGAGAATGTGTTCACTATGTGGTCGTTGCTGGCTGCGTCTGTCGAGTAACTTGACAGTAACACTCCCGCCACGGTCAGACAGAGTCCTGACAATGCCATAAACCTTGGCATGTGGAAGATCTTCACCACAGCTCGGCACCATGACTCCAGCAACAGTCTTATCACCAATGCTATCACTGGCACCAACGCTATATCCACGTCCCATATCTTCAGAACTTCATTATCCTCATGTCCTTCTTCCCGAATCGCCTTCAAGATTATCAGTCCATACAATGATAACAGAGCTGGTACTGTAATGTGGTATATCACTGCTGACACAACAATCAACCATCCATACCCGCCGTCTGGTGGTGTAGGCCCAATCTCTGGCTGCGAGGCCACAACTCTGTCTAAATGCAAGTCGTCTACCCTGCTTTCACCTCGCTCCATGCGATTGGGGGCTCGGTTCGTTTGTTCTTCCATTATTTTCTCACAAAAACAATTTCTTCATTTTATAAAAATACATGTAGTCACTTAGTTATCTAGGTGGAATGGGTGTGTTATCTTATCATTATCATTTGGCGTAATCGCTTGCTCTAGATTTTGAAATTCAGCGCCAATTTAATCCAACACAGTACACAACTACGCCACATTCTCATTATTTGTATACTGATTGATACAAATAGCGAGCATATTTTTAGAAATATTGTTGAATAATTTGGTAAGAAAAAAACTAAACGAAAAACATTTGTAAAAGTTCCAAGGAATGTAGTTTCTGAACGAATGCAGGACAGAAAATAAAATGTTATGCGACCAAATAGAGGAACCATTCGCCATTTTGAAAGAGTGTGATAGACTTATTCTACCATATATTAGCTAAAAAGAGACTTCCGATATTTGATTACTGGAGAGCGTAATTTCAATAAAGCTGGTTTTTACAAAATGAATGAATCCGTTTGATCGACATTCGTGCGAGACGCTCTAATTGGGATTTTATGATTTATTCAATAATGCAAAGGTATTTTAAATGAAATCTTGTTGAAACCTAGTTTTAATAAATGGAGCATACAATTTACTAGTGCAGTGTAATGTTTTTCCTGTGACATCATGTTTTACATCGTGTTCACACTCCGTAAAGCACTTTAATTGCTCGTAATTTCGGTGTTATACATTATTGTGTGTTGGTGTAGGTGTTTATGGTGCTGTGCTGATGGATAAGATCGAGGAGTGGAGGCTGTACAATGGAAACGGAGTCGGTGAGGTCTGAGCTGAGCAGCCGGTCGCGAAGGAGCTCGAGGCACCGGCAGCACACGCATCGAAGCACCCGGTGAGAGACACCTTCACGGTTCATTTTCTCTAATTTCGAGTAACTTAACCACTTTTTCGAAGCTCTGTACATCATAGGTCAAAATTCTTCCCATTTTACTAAATAGGTTTGGTACAAACCCAGTGGGAATTTCCCCAAAGTTAATTACAGGGTGATAGGATCATAATTACAAGTTACAAACCTCCCACCAAATTGCAGTTACTATGTTATCGAGCTTAAGCCCTACAACTGTTAACTAAAGTGAGAAGAAGGAATGTACATAAAATTCTCATTAATATTCCAAAGTTGTTTTGGGATTATTGTAGAACATAAAGTATGCATGGCAGGTGTATGTTAATGTTGTTAAATAATAACTGTTTTATTATGGTTATTTTGACAAGATCCTGGTTTTAGTGTACACCAGGTTTTAAGGTGGAATATTTATGGCTGCCAAGCTTTGAATGTAATTGTCATGAATTAGTTTAAATGGATATTGGACTGTACTTTGCGTTTTAAACTAAATTTTATAGATTTGTTCTCATCATCATCATCATCATTAGCCTGTATTCATCCACTGCCGGACATAAGCCTCTCTAATTTGGATCTAATCTCTCATTAACACTAAATGAAATAAGTACTAAATAAATAGAACATACAATAAAAATAAAACAATAAAGGAATCAGTACATAGACATATTTTATTAATAAATTGTATAAAATTTCAGAAGTACAAAGTCACAGAGGAAAGAATCTTCAGATAACACAATGGCACCATTCCAAACTAGTGTAAACATTAACCCTGAGATGGGTAGAGATGGACAGGAAGTTATAGAGGTCCAAATCTTGCCACAGGATGAGAACTGGGGAGAAAACACTACTGCAGTCACTGGAAACACTTCCGAAGGGTCCCAATCAATGGAGGATGTCAGCAACTGGCCTATGGAGTCAGATAATGGAATTGGGTTTGTGTGTACCAGATATTTTGGCACAACAATAGCCCTTGGACTGTCCTTTGTCTCATTTGTGAGTCCTCTAGCAATGGTGGTGCTGCCAAAGATTGGATTCTTCCCTGGATTGTCAGATAATATAGCGATACAACCAAGTCAGAGGATACAGCTGCTCTCTTGCACAGCTGAATGTAAAGGAATACTCCTTTCTCTTGCCTTCAAACTTGTATTACTAGCCATTGGAGTATGGGCTGTATTCCTAAGACCAAGAAATGCTATATTGCCAAGGATATTTGTCTTTAGAGCTATGACACTGGTCATTCTAGCTGTGTGTATATTTTCATACTGGTTGTTCTACATTGTTCAGATAACAGAGGCAACAAAAGCTCTCGCAGTGGGCGAGGAAGCGATAGACTATAACTCCTTAGTATCTTATGTATCCAGTTTTGCTGATACATTACTGTTTATACATTATATAGCTGTAATTTTGATGGAGATCAGGCATTTGGAGCCTGTGTACTACATAAAGATTGTTCGGAGCCCTGATGGTGAAAGCAGGTCTTATTCTATTGGACAGTTGAGCATACAAAGAGCAGCTGTGTGGGTTCTACAGAAGTATTACACTGAGTTTCCGATATACAATCCATATTTGGAGAAGATCCCTATATCTAAGTCACAGAGGAAGGCGCAGTCTAGTATAAAGTTCTATGAAGTGGATGGGTCTACTAATGCAACGCCTGGACAAGCTAGGTGAGTTCTAAACAAAATTTTGTTTTTTATATCTATATTTTCTTTGTCGGCCTCCTTAACCGAATGATCGCAAGTGCGACTGGTCTCGACTGGGTCTCGGGTTCGATTCCCAGGTCGAGCAAAGTATTACTGGGTTTTACAAAAATTCTCAGTAGTAACATGGAGTCTGGAATTGTGCGCGGTATGGCAATAGGCTCACCTCCTGTCACATTGTACAGTGACACGAAGTGCCATAATGTACACCTCTGCCTACCTCTTCGGAGATAAAAAGGTGTGACGTTATGTGTTTTTATTTGTGCTTGACATTCGAGCTAAAGAGAGATAGTAATTTCTTCCAGTTTACATTATTAGACTGTATCAACTATTTCTATTAGATTTCAAATAAAAAAAGCTATGTAATATTGTACTCTGTATGGGTATTATATCTCAGTACTTGCATTGTATAAAAGTACAGTAATACTGACCTTATTAAAATAAAAACAGTTGTATTGTTGTCATGGTTGCCATGTGTGGAAGAATTCTTTTATTTTAAACACAAAGCAACTAACAAAAGCTTTTAAAAAGGTTCCACAGAGATATATAATATTGTCACACCTATCTCATTTTAGTTAGAAAATAGTACCTCCTCCGTTTTTTAAAGTCGTTAATAACAGTAGTATACATTTGTCAGTTCACAAAATGACTGACGACTTATTGAAGGGGTTACTTATACTATTTACCCTTCCGTTGTGTTTCGTCGTGTGAGTGAGGTTACCGGAGGCCCAATTACCCTCCCCTTCCCCAATCTCCCCAATTCCTGAATCCCCAACGATCCTCAAACTCCTCATCCCCAAAAGGCCGGTAACGCACTTGTAACGCCTCTGGTGTTCCAGGTGTCCATGGGTGACGCAGATTGCTTACCATCAGTACCGGCTTACGCCATAAAAAAAGTCATAAAGCAACTATGTATTTTACCTATTCTTGTTACAACAGTCGATAAATCCATCACCAAATATATCTGCTAATGCTGCATATACTAATGTTGCATTCATTGCATACAAATGCAGGGAATGTTATTTCGTAATTTCCACGTCAAACACTACGCTGTACTGGTTGACTGGATGAGGCAGTTGAATTCTAGTTTTTTTTTTTAAATGTTGCCCTACACTAGGATTTTCTCCTGTGTCGTGTGTGCGTTTACAAACATACAAGCTCACATACACATAACACCCAGACCCGGAACAACAATCTGTGGATCACACAAAGAGTTGTTCCGTGCGGGAATCGAACCCTCGACACGTTGCGCGGCAGTCAGTTGCCCAACCACTGCGCTAACCGCGCTGCCGATAATAATAAACTGTTTTCAAGTTCGACCACCATGAATCTCATTACAACAAAATAAAACAGTTAGGAAGATTTTGATTGGTATTTATAGAGTAACCGTCATGGTTGTAATGGATTTACCATCGATGCCGAAAAAGAAGTGTGTCTAATTGATGTTTTAAAGAGCGCCGCTAATTGCCGCCTGCTGGTTGGTTGATAGATAATTGTTTTGATGCTTCTGACTCGACGAGACTTCCGAGTTCATTCTCATTTCAAGTTCAATTTAGTTCCCAAGGTAATTTGGAAGTAAAGTTTTGTTATTTGAAAAATACAAAAACCTAATGTTTTATACTTTACTGATGAGGTTTTCATTAGTAAAACAAGGAGTTAAGAACTGCCCATAACATCACGCCTTTTATCCCCGAAGGGGTAGGCAGAGGTGCACATTATGCCACTGTACAATGTAACACCCACTTTTCACTATTTATGTTATGAGTTTCATGTAATAGGGGGTGAGTAATAGGAACTGCCCATCTATTATAATACATATTTTTTGGAAATATAGGCATAATGTTTACTTCAAATATATGTTCTCATTTATAAGAAGATCTCTCATGTAGTGGACTTATTTGATATGTATCTACTGGAAAATACATGGCGGCCCAGGGGCCGAAAGACAGGTCTTTCTTAAATACCATTTTTAACTTTTATTAAAGTCAATCCACTTTGGGAACCTTCCTAAAGTAGATTGACTTTTCATCGAATCTGGCCATCCCAGATACAAGTCTGGGCTGGCTTGATAACGAATTCTACCAGACTTCTCGGTTCCACGAATCCCTCATTCATAGATCAACAAAGTATTGTATAAAAAGGAAGAGGTTTATATAGTAGGTTGGTTTATTATATAAATTTATTATATATTATATAGTAAGGTATATATAGAAAGAAAGAAAGAAAGAAAGAAAAACTATTTATTTTGCTACGACACACAACAAGAATTTAGAAATACAGAAAAAAAGTCCATGGTGATGGTGCCATATGATGATGGGATGTGATTTTCTGTTCACAGATCTACAACAGGGTCCTGTGGCGGCGGTAGCACTCGTCGCCGCGACTCTGGCTCGGCGCACAACGAGCGATACTACGAGGAGGCCGAGCGCGAGCGCCGCGTGCGCAAGCGACGCGCGCGACTACTCACCAGCGCTGAGGATGCGTTCGCGCATGTACGCAGGGTGCGCGTCTCTAGTAATGGTACGGGTGCGTTATGTGCTATATTTGTTAAATGAAAAATTCTCGAAGTATGTTGTTAAAACAAAATTTTCAAAAGTTTCTGAA